GCCATAGATGCAGGCGAAACGTCAGGAGAGAATGCTTCTAGAACATGGCCATACAGCCCGAGAAACCTACAACAACCCACTTTCCCTGAGAGAAGGAGGAGAGAAGCCGAAGCCAGGCTTCCTAGAGGGGAAGCAGGAAGAGAGGGAAGAGGGAAGGAAGGTCCTCCCACAGCTGGAACTCCGCCCCTTTCGGCCAGTAGTGAGCGCGTCCCTTCCTAGACGGGCACCGGAAGAGGCTTTGTTTACCTGCAGGGTGTCCTCCAAGGGGGAGGAGGAAGAGCGCCACTTCCGGGAGGGAGTCAGTCCTCCGAAAGATGGAGCTGCAGGTGGGTCTCTTGCGTCTTCTGTCCCGGAGAGAGAGACAGGGAGTGAGGGGGACGCCATGGGGAAGTCTCCCCGGCCTCTCTCATCGGGAAGAGCAGCCCCTCGGCCTCAGGCAGCCTTGGAAGGCCTTCTGTGGGAGCTGTGGGGGTGGAAGTGGGTGGGAGAGGCTGCAGTGGGAGAGGCCCCACTGCTTTCCCACAGAGGACCTGCCTGGGAAAGGATGGGGAGGGATTCTCAAAGGAGGAGGGAGAGAGAGAGAGAGCAAAGGAAGGGCCTCATCAAACCACAGCTTTCAATGCTATGAAACCCTGGAAGTTATAGTTTTCCAAAGAGTGCTGAGGACTCATCAAAGTACAACTCGAAAATGTTGTGAAACCCTGGGAGTTATAGTTTTCCAAAGAGCTCTAGGACCTCATCAGACAAGAACTCCAAAATGCTGTGAAACCCTGGGAGTCATAGTTTTCCAAAGAGCACTGGGGCCTCACCATATATAACTCCCAATGCTGTAAAACCCTGGGAGTTGTAGTTTTCCAAAGAGAGCTGAGGCCTCTTCAAACTACAACTCCCGGTGTTATGAAACCCTGGAAGTTATAGTTTGACAAAGAGCACCGGGCACCTCATCAAACTACAACTGCAAAATGTTGTGAAACCCTGGGAGTTATAGTTTTCCAAAGAGCTCTAGAACCTCATCAGACTACAACTCCCAATGCTGTGAAACCCTGGGAGTTATAGTTTGACAAAGAGCGCCGGGGGCCTCATCAAACTACAACTCCAAAATGTTGTGAAACCCTACGAATTATAATTTTCCAAAGAGCTCTAGGACCTCATCAGACTACAACTTCCAATGCTGTGAAACCCTGGGAGTTATAGTTTTCCAAAGAGTGCTGGGGCCTCATTAAACTACAGCTCCCCTTCCTGAACCTTTCCTCTCCACACCCAGGAGCCACTCATTAATTCAACATTCATGGCAAATGAATGTTGAATTAATGCTCGCCCTTTACTTTGTGCCTGACTTGGCCATGGAGGCTCAGGAATAGTCGCCCTCTCCCTTGGCTCGCTGGTGGAAGGACTCTTGGCTTGATCACTGTCAATCACCTTTCTGTCTTCTGAAGCTGTAACTACATTTGTTTTGTTTTTTTTAAGGACCAGGCTGTGGCACAGATAGTTAGTAACCAGCTGCATTAAATCACCAAGAAGTCATGCGTTCGAAGCCAGCCTGAGTCAGAGTAAGCTCCCGACCATTAATAGTCTAGCTTGCTGTTGACCTATGCAGCCCGAAAGACAGTTGCACCTGTTAAGTAGGAAATTTGGGTACCGCTTTATGCGGGGAGGCTAATTTAACTAATTTATAAGGCAATAAAACCTTCCAGAAGAATGAGGAAGTACTCCATCAAAGTACCCGGTGTCACAAGTGGGCGGTCAAGCAGCAGCTCCCCCTGTAGCCGGAACCAAGCATACCCTCATGAAGTTGGAAAAGCTGGAATGTTAAATTGCCTCTGTGTCTGTCTATATATGTCGTATGTCTAAATGGCGCTCAATGTTTCCCATGTATATGTGCATTGTAATCCGGTGGGGTGAGAAGGGGGGAATAGAAGTGCCATAAATAAATAAGTAAATAAATAAATAAAGTGTTGTCCTTCCTCGAGAGTATTCACTTGAGTTCATTCATCATGTTTTGTTTGCAGGCTGTGTCAATTCTGCCAGTCCTCCCTCTTTGATTATCATTTGAGAGGCAGCCTAGAAGCACAGAGCCAAGATGGAAGGTCCAAGATGTGGGGCAGAGACCAGTTCCCAGGCCATGGCCTTGGCTGAAGGCTTCCTCCTGAAGCGGGCCGAAGAAGAGAGAAAGTGGGAGAAGTCCCAGGTGAGAGAAAGAGATTCACCTTGAAGTTTCAAGCAACCAAAAATAATCGTTTTGAAGGATAATGTAGAACTCTTCTGAACTCCTCAAGCCGGGATTATTGCATTCAGTTTCAGGAAGCTAATTTTAACAATAATAGAATCAAAATGTTTTGAAGGATGATAGGAAGAACTTCCTGTGAGAGCTGTTCAGCAGTGGAACTCTCTGCCCCAGAGTGTGGTGGAGGGTCCTTCTTCGGAAGCTTTTAAACAGAGGCTGGATGGCTATCTGTCAGGGGTGCTTTGAATGCAATATTCCTGCTTCTTGGCAGAATGGGGTTGGACTGGATGGCCCATGAGGTCTCTTCCAACTCTATGATTCTATATGAAACCCCTTTTCCATATGTTATGGACATTTTCCAACTATGGGTGATTCAGCCAGCAAAACAGGTGATTGCATTTTTAGCCTTCTGGACTCCTCAGGCCAGGATTATAGCATTCAGTATCAGCTAATTTTAAGAGTAGTACAAACAAGTTGGAATGAGTTCAGATAAGTGTTAGGATAAGAGGACCCATGTGTGTTCACCCTGGAAAAGAAACTTGGAGTGCCACAATTGCCCCCTTTGCTCCCCTCAAGGTCTCTCACGGAGAGGAGGGGCAATCCTCTCCATTCCCCAGGGTGGTATCACCAGGTATAATGATCTGAAGTTATAGGGTGGTAAACTTGGAAGATTAAAAGGAATGTATTGAGAATTCCAGTGGTATGTATTTCAGAGGAAGCAACTGGCTGAACCACTTCTGAATATTCTTTCCCTAAGAAACTGTATGTTATTCACTCAACCGAGACCTGAAAGCACAGACATACAGACTTAAGATTACTCAGCCCAAAATCCCCTCTAGGGTAATAATAATAGTAATAAAATTATTCTTATTCTTATTTACAGCTTTTATATTCTGCCCTTCTCACCCCGCAGGGGACTCAGGGCGGATTACAGTGTACACATATTTGGCAATCATTCAATGCCAATTTTTGACATACAAACATATGCAGACATAGACAGAGGCTATTTAACTTTTTCTGGCCACCAGGGGAGCTGTCGCTTTCATCGTCCATCTGTGACGCTGATGAAGCACTTCCGCATTCCCCGCATGCTTCCCCGCTGGAATGCTTTGCTGGAGTCTTCTTTATGGCCTCATAAATCAGTTAATTTAGCCTCCCCACACTTTAAGGTGGTACCTTATTTTCCTACTTGAGCAGATGCAACTGTCTTTTGGGTTGCAAAGGTCGACAACAGGCTACACACAATTGGTTGGAAACCCACTCCAACTCGGGCTAGCTTCGAACTCATGACCTTTTTGAGTGATCTTAATACAGCTGAATGAACCACTTCAGAATATAAAAATAAAACTTTATAAAAATAAAACTTTATTTATATACCGCTCTATCTCCCCAGGGGGACTCAGAGCGGTTTCCAAGTAACACCATCAATACATACAGAGTAAACAACATAACCATAAGATTAACAAAACAATATAAGCATAAAAATTGTTGCCATAACACATATATATAAAAAGTAATCCTGCCTCTTCAAGGCAATTTAAAAGGCCGAGCCGAGATTAGTGCAAACTCAACAATTCTAGGGGGTCCGGGAATTAAGTGCTGTGCTATAGCAGGCAACAACAATAATAGGTACAGGTCTATGGCTGTTCATTTCCGGGGCCTGTTAGAGGAAGTGAACTGGGTAATTGGTAGGAAGAATAAGGCCATATTCAATAATGTATAGGGCTGAGCTAGAACTAGTCATTCTCAAAGGTTTGTTGAAACCACCAGGTCTTCAAGCTCTTATGAAAGGAGGGAAGGGATGGGGCCTGTCTAATTTTCCTGGAGAGGGCATTCCAGAGGCAGGGGCCACCACTGAGAAGGCCCTCTCCCTCATCCCCACCAACTATACTTGTGACTGTGGTGGGAGCGAAAGGAGGGCCTCCCTGGAAAATCTTAAGAGTTTGTGCCGGTTCATAGAAGGAGATGCAATTGCAGAGAACCGTTTAGGGCTTCATAGGTCATGATCTGCACCTTTAATTTGGCTTGGCAACTTATCAGCAGCCAATGAAGCTGTTTTAATAGGGGTGTTGCACGCTCCCTATAGTTTGCCCCAGTAAGGAGCCTGGGTGCTGCCCGTTGTACCAGTTTAAACTTCTGGGTCATCTTCAAGGGCAGCCCCATGTAGAGTGCATTGCAATAGTCCGGTCTGGATGTAACCCTGGCCAAATTAAACTTTATGAGGTATGGTCACAGTTGCCACACAAGTTTTGAGTTGTGCAAAGGCCCTCCCAGCCACCGCTGACACCTGAGCACTAAGTGACAGCATTGAGTCCAGGAGGACCCCCCCAAGCTACAGACCTACACCTTCAGGGTAGCCCCAAATGACAACCCCAGGATTACGTAAAGTACTTTCTCCATTTAAGCAGTAGCCCTTCCACTTCAGAGCAAGTCCTGAAGCAGAGCGCAAGGCCCAAGCAAAAGCAGAATTCCCACATCAAAATCAAGGAAAGGCAGATTACAGAATGAGGAAAATCAGACTTGAATCCCAACCATAATCCAAGCAGTCTGGAACAGGTTGCAGAAAGAGAGCCCTCCCTCCTTTACTAATCCATCTTTTCCCTTGTAATCTGTGCTGCTTGTTCAGGTGCAGGACTCTTTTCCAGATGAAACCAGTCAGGTGGAGAATTCGCACATTTGGGCCGTCCATATTGGAGGAGAATATATCCTAGTTGGTAAGTAATAGGCAGTGGTCCTCCTTGCTTGCTCACCTCCTCTTGAGTAGACCTGAAATGTCTGAGCTATGTAAATTGGAAAAAAATTAGGGCGCCTGGGAGCTTAAGAATGCTGTTGACGGGAGACATTTCCCTATAATACTTATATGTGCCACTTTCAAAGTTACTTAATTCCTTTGCTTCTCTCTGGATGTTTATGGTGGTGAATATGCTCTTTGCTACATTGGCACAAATACAGAAACTAATACAGTCAACCCTCTACATTTCCTGGGATTAGGTCGCAACACAGCCGTAAAACAAAGTAGTCCACATTAAAGACCTGGGACTGAAATCCAAAGAGGTCATGGGGCAAGGGGAAGGTGGCAGGATTCCGAGGGAAGGAACTGTGGGGCCAGCCTGGAAAGGGGACCGATCTCACCCTCCCTAGTGTCTTTCCTCTCTCACACAGGCAGTGAAACATGGCCAAGTGGCAGTAGCATACCTTTTCATGATTCTTTCCTAAGAAGAGATTCTGCGGATCCAGATCAGGTAGGCAACAGGATCCCTGGAGGAGAGGGGAAGCCCAGTCTCCTCACTTTAATATTGCCCTAAATTAGTGATTCTCAACCTAGGGTCAGCAGATGTTTTTGGACTACAACTCCCAGAAATCCCAGCCAGTTGACCAGCTGTTAGGATTTCTGGGAGTTGAAGGCCAAAAACATCTGGGGACCCAGGGTTGAGAACCACTGCAAAATGAACCTTTTTCTTCTACATTCCATAACATTTTTCCCCTTCAGGTGACATTTGAAGATGTGTCTGTGGATTTCTCAGAGGAGGAGTGGGCCCTCTTGGATCCAAGCCAAAAAGCTTTGCACCAGCAAGTCATGGGGGAGATTTTAGGAATCGTATCATCTCTGGGTAAAGCTCCATTCTGCTTGTATTTAACCAAATCAGTTTATAAGTTCTAAAAAATATGCAGTGTTTCAGATCTCGTCCTCTGAAGCCATAGAAAACGAGCTCATTTCATGTCTATGTAGGGGCCAGCCCAAGATGACAATTGGCACTTGGGTGGAGTTGCCACATTTGATGAATTCTAGGCAATGGTTATTTTTCATCCACTAACTATGCTTGTGATTGTGGTAGGAGTGGGAGAAGGGTTTCTCTTGAGGCGCCCAGATGGGTTTGTACAAATAGCCTGGACCTGAGGCATTTAGGTCTTTATAGGTCATAACCAGCAATTTGAATTGTGTCTGGAAACAAATTGGAAGCCAGTAGAGCCATGGCAGCAAATAATAATAATTATTTGATTTCTTATCCGTCTCTCCTCACAGTTCGTGGTGGATGACAACATTACTAAAACACATAATCAAAACACATAACCATTTAAGAACACTTCATAAAATACACGTTTTGCCTCAGGCCTATACTAATTCTGAAGTTAAGAAAATCAACAGTAGGGATGTGCTTTAAAAAAGACAAAGCGGTTAAAATGGGAAAAATAACATTTAATCAATAATATAAGGAGTGACAAAACAGAGAGAGAATATAAAACTCCAGTTATGTGCATCTTTATTTGGTTCTTTTTAATATGGCAACATTATTCTGGCTGCTAATCTGAATGTTGATGTTTGTTCTGCTGCCTGATATCACCAACTTAAGTTCACCTACCTTTGTGGCTTCAGGCAGATCAAAGGTTTTTACCTTTCTTGTGCCAGAAATACAGGGGATTCCAGAGAAACTTGGGCTAAGGAAACAGCTCTGTTTTCCCCCGCCCTGGTTGCATTATAGTTTACTTTGAGACTTATATCCTGGCATAATATTTAGAGGAAAAAGAAAACAGAATTTTTTTCTTAACAGGCAGTGTTGGAAAGGGCTGTCTCGACTAAATGCATTTTGTAATTTCTCCTCTCACACAGGAGAGAGACTGTTTAAATGCCCAGAGTGTGGAAAGAGCTTCACTCAGAAGGGAGATCTTCTTTACCACAGAAAAACTCACACAGGAGAGAGACGGTTTAAATGCTCAGAGTGTGAAAAGAGCTTCACTCATAAGACAAGCCTTATTAGTCATCAGTTAACTCACACAGGAGAGAAGCCATTTAAATGCTTGCAGTGTGAAAAGAGCTTCAGTCAAAAGAGCAGCCTTATTCGTCATCAGGCACTTCACGCAGGAGTGAAACCATTTAATTGCCCAGAGTGCGGAAAGAGCTTCAGTCAAAAGATAGGCCTTGTACATCACCAGGCAATTCACACAGGAGAAAAGCCATTTAAATGCCCAGTGTGTAAAAAGAGTTTCAGTCAAGAGAGAAACCTTATTAGTCATGAGGCAACTCACACAGGAGTAAAGCTATATAAATGTTTCCAGTGTGAAAAGAGCTTCAGTCAAAAGTGCAACCTTGATAGTCATCAGGCAACCCATACAGCAGAGAAGCCATTTAAATGCTTGCAATGTGAAAAGAGCTTCAGTCAAAAGAAAGGCCTTGATTATCATCAAATAACTCACACAGGAGAGAAACCCTTTAAATGCCTAGAGTGTGGAAAGAGCTTCAGACAGAAAGGCAGCCTTATTAGTCATCAGGCAACTCACACAGGAGAGAAGCCATTTAAATGCTTGCAGTGCGAAAAGAGCTTTAGTCAAAAGAGAATCCTTATTCATCATCTGGCAACTCACACAGGAGAGAAACCATTTAAATGCTCAGAGTGCGGAAAGAGCTTCAGTCAAAAGATAGGGCTTGTACGTCACCAGGTAAGTCACACAGAAGAAAAGCCATTTAAATGCTTCCAGTGTGAAAAGAGCTTCAGTCAAAAGAGCCACCTTATTAGTCATCAGGCAACTCACACAGGAGAGAAGCCATTTAAATGCTTGCAGTGTGGAAAGAGCTTCAGTAAAAAGAGTAACCTTATTAGTCATCACGCAACTCACACAGGAGAGAAGCCATTTAAATGCTCGGAGTGTGAAAAGAGCTTCAGTCATAAGAAAAGCCTTATTAGTCATCAGTCAACTCACACAGGAGAGAAGCCATTTAAATGTTTGCAGTGTGAAAAGAGCTTCAGTCACAAGAAAAGCCTTATTAGTCATCAGTCAACTCACACAGGAGAGAAGCCATTTAAATGCTTGCTGTGTGAAAAGAGCTTCAGTCAAAAGGGAAACCTTATTACTCATCAGGCAATTCACACAGGAGAGAAACCATTTAAATGCCCAGAGTGTGAAAAGAGCTTCAGTCAAAAGGGAAGCCTTATTATTCATCTGGCAATTCACACAGGAGAAAGACCATTTATATGCTCAGAGTGTGGAAAGAGTTTCAGTCAGAAATCATACCTTGCTCGTCACCAGGCAACTCACAGCAGAGAAAAACCAGAGTGTGGAATGAGCAGCAATTGAAATACAAGCCTTCTTTTTTAATTGTCAACCCACACAGAAGAAAAAGCAAGTTCCCTTGTTTTACATCAGAGGGGGCATGGATCTTTGTCATAGAAACACTGAGTTAAAAAGTCATGGCTTTTGGGGAAAATAATTACCTGGCCCATTTTCTTTCATGAAATCCCTCATTAAGCATAAGTGATAATATTTTGAGAGCTTTTTATTTGTCGTGTCAGGAGCGACTTGAGAAACTGCAAGTCGCTTCTGGTGTGAGAAAATTGACCGTCTGCAAGCGGACGCCCGGATGATTTAATGCTTTTATCATCCTTGTGGGAGGCCACCGGGGGCTCCATTTTGAGAGCTAAAGGAAGGATATTTCAGTGGATATTTTTTATCCATTCACGCATACTGGTTACTGCAAATATTTCCTGCCATGTATATTCAGGACTAAAAATATATTTAATTGAGAAATTTAATGAGAAGTGTGGGAATGAGTTTGATTAATGACTAACATCCCTGTGCATCGTGTAATTCAGTGTGTGGAAAGTGTTTTGCCGCCACAATGTGATGTGGCGGCAAAAAAGCCAATGGGATTTTGGCCTGCATTAATAGGAGCATGGTGTCTAGATCTAGGGAAGTAAT